GGCACTATCAATATCTTTTTGAAGAGCAGCATAATGTAAAGGATATCTGTTTAAATTATCTACACAATTAACTGTGGCGCCATTTTCAAGTAGTTTTACTATCGCATTTTTTTGTCCAAGAAAAACAGCCTTATGAAGAGGTGTCAATCCTGTACAGAAGTAATTTTTTGTAATTTATTTTAAATTATGCTATTAAATATATAAAGTTAATTTATTAATAATATAATTTATATTCTGAATTTTAAAAGAAAAGAATCAAAGTAACTGTTTTGAAAATAATTCTTTAAGATTCAATATTTCTTTAAAGATTCAAATTTTAAGTTTAATTTTAATTTAATTTTAATTTTAATGGATTTTTTCATCATAATTTTTTTTTTTAATATAATTATAATATAATTTGACTAATTAAGTTACATAGTTTGACTAACCATCTATTGTTTTTATTTCAATATTAATAAGTGGCTGATTGCAAAGTAATTGAATAAGTACCACATTATCATATTGTACTGCAATATGTAAAGGAGTTAAATAATCAGATCTTCGACAATTAACATCTGCACCCTAAATAAAATTATTAATTTAACTTTAAAATTACTAATTAAATTTTACTAAATATCGTTTAATCGATGATTAAGAATTTTTATACTTGAAAAAGTGCTTCTCTTGCCATAAATATATGTCCAAAAGTACATGCTAATAATAATTTCCAATTAACATCGGTTATTAATTCTGGCGAACTTGTAGGATCTAATATAGAGATACGAAATTGTTTACTCATTTATTATGATTTTTATTATTATTTTTATTTTTAAATGATGTTTTAAAGAGTTTAGAGGTTACAAACGAAACATAAGATGTTTTATTCAATATATATTTGTCATATGACTTGAAGTTTTTTATTATTTTGGTATTTTCAATATTATCGATTCAATATTAAATAATAAATATTATACTTATCTTTGTATTTTTTTAATAATTCTATTAAAATCAAACAATCATATGGAAAGAAATTATTAGAATAATAAACAATATTATGTTTAGTCTATTTTATTATAAATTATAAATTTTTATTGATAACATATAATAAAATTGTATATAATGAAAAAAATTAAAAATTATATTTCAAATAAAAAAAAATAATATTAAATATAATATTAAATGTAATAAAAAAATATCTGTGAAATCTAATTTGAAATATTAAGAAAATCAAACAATTAGATATATTTTAAATCTAATATCTTATTTCAAATATCAATTTTCAAAAAATGTTATCATATTATTATTGTTATCATGTTATGTTATTGTTATTTATTATTGTTATTATTATTATTATTGTTATTATTGTTATATCTGTTATCATATTAATTATTCATCAAATTAATTCATTAAATAATATAAAATAAAAAAAATTCATTAGAAAATCTTAAATTTCGATTAAATATAAAGTATAGATATAAAATTATTTTTCATATTTAAACATTTCACAAATAAAAGAAAAACAAATAGAAAATAAATAATATTTCAGGATAAGTATTTATAAGTAGAATATTATTTATTTATTTATTTATTTTTTTTTTTATTTAGTTTTGTTACAATAATATATTATCGTTCAATTAAAAGCACCATGGATTTGAAAAATACAATGCCGAATGATAAAATTTTTTGATTTCAAAATACACACGTATATATAATGGACATTTACATGATGTATTTTACGATATAATAGGCATACAATATTTATTTTAAAATAATATATTTAATATATAGTTTTGTTTTATGCAATTATAATAATTCATGTAATTAATTAATTAATTAGCAATCAGTAGAGTATTATTGTATGATCTATAACATTGAATAAACTTTGATAGAATTTCGCGACTGTTTCCTAAATATGTTATAATTTGATCGAATATCACATAATTTTTTTTCTTAAATCATGATATCCAATAAATTTTTCATAAGCATGAAAATATGAATATCTTTTTCATCAAATATTAATATTACAGTTCAAGATGTTAGAATATATTTCCATAAAATTGATTACAACAAGGTTTGATAAAATTTTCTTAATTTTTCACCAAAATACTGTTTTTTTTATCTTTTGTGTTTTAGATTCGAATATTCATGAAAAATAGCTTAAATACAAGAAGAATAATTATCACTTTGATATCGTATAGCAACAAGTGTCTATATATTAAATCTTTTTTTTTTTTTAGTCTTTGAAACATTTTGAAATGGTTCCGTATCCAGCATAAAAACAATATTTAACAACATTTGTCACTATTATTTTAAAAAAATATCTTCTGAAAATTAGATATTCCCGTTTGAAGATTAATTTATATTATACTATAGTAATAGTATATCATGTCTTTTTTCTTTTCCTTGGCAAGGTAGTAGCCGCGTTACAAAGTAAATAAATCTAATTTGGTTTCCGTTTTCTTTTTTTATTATGAAAAATCTTGCGATTATAGTTTTTTACAATTCAACAGAATTTTAAGATAATCGATTCGTTTCAACGAATAAAGCTATAATTGTAAAATATCTATAGAATATAATTTGGAAATATATCATTTAAACAACTATTCCTCAAAATGTTCAGCTTTTTGTGTAATACTTTGTTCGGTCACGAAACATTACAACGTATCAATGAAATCCAAACCCAACTGATTGACATTCCTTTAATCATATACAATAATTCATACTTTTCATTGTCTATAACATTAATTACATATTAATAATAATAAGTAATAAATACTGAATCATTCTCTCTCTTTTGGTATTACTTAATCTACGTAATTCTAATTACACGCTAAACGATCGTCAAAAATATATAGCATCGAGTCACAAAAAATTTTTCTTTATGCCGATCGTAACTATTTCGATCGATCGATCAGTCGTCAGCTAAATTTTTCTTTTCCTACTGTTAAAATATCATACATTATATTATTATATACGCGTTTCAAGCATATACTGGTTAAACGACAAGGAACGAAAAGGAAAAATTACTCAGTCTCCTCGGAACGTTTGCTCTATGGAAGGCCGTGTTTGGTTCGATCGAGAAGAACATTAAATGTTACTCGGTTTGTATAGATACATTTACATACTCTTCGTCTTTCTCTCTTTTTTTTTTTTACCTATCTGTCTTTTTTTTTTTTTTT